TGTTTCTCCAGGGTTGCTTAGGACCACATCAAACTCAGCAGTTGACACTGTATGAAATGTTCATAAGGTTTTTCTGGCATGTAACCGCAGTAGATTCATAACCACAACAAAGATGTAGCAGCCTCTATCTCCACCAAGATGGCCATGTCCCTCTCCCCAACCCCAGTGGCCATGGGTCCATTTCCAGCCTTTCCGCCATGCCCAGGCCACAGCGCAGCATGCATGATGTTGTGCAGCCTGTGTCCTGTGGAGACACCTGTTTCCAATCAGCAGAGTCCTTGAGACCCAGCAGCCTTTCAAGCCTCATGTTGCACAATGGCTTTCCACAGTGTGGATGGAGCAGTGGCTCTAAACGTACACTGGTGTAGGAACATTCAGCTCTCCCCACTGTCCCCAGGGCCTCCTGGAAGTGGGGCAGGCAATGGGGAAAGATGTTTGACCACCTTCCTGGAGGCAGGGACCCTTGTGGAGTGATTCTGGCTCTGCCTGAGTGAGCTGAGAAAAGTTGGAAGGGCTGGGTGAGCCCTTAGACACATCATGAGCACCAGGGCTGCTAACCGAAGAGATATGTGTATATGTGTATTTTTTGACAGCTCTGTGAATTCAGAACATGTTTTCCAGGCTGGCCACTAAAATATTTATCACCCTAGAACAAAAAAAGCCCTAAGGATGTAGTGAATTAAAACTTGCTGCCCATCAGGTTTAAAGGAAGCCAGGCTTGACTTTTTTGTGTGTTCTCCAGGGACTGAGGCAGGTGTCCTACCTCTCAAAGGTGACCATAGTGCCTGGGCCCACCCTGCACCGACTCTTGAGCATGGTGCTGCCCTCGGCCTCACAACCTCAGCTGCTGGCCCTGCTGGACTCGCTCAGTGAAAAGCATTCTGACCACACAACAGAGCGCGAGGGCAGTGAGGAGCAGGCTGAGCCGGGCAGAAGGAGGTGAGCACCCGGTGGGGACTGCCTGCAAAGGCCAGGTGTGACCCACATAGGAGCCGGTGGGGACTGCCTGCAAAGGACAGGTGTGACCCACGTAGGAGTCGGAGGAGCAGGGGGTCAGACCACGGGCACTCCCCACTGGCCCCTCTCTATTCAGAGCTCAAGTCTTGGTAGATCCGAGTAGCCTGCGCTTTCTAATTTTATCATCAGTTCGAGTGAGCCTTAAGAAAATACATTTCTCCAGGGCCATCAATAATTACGCATGGCCATTAAGAAAATATTAAAAGTACATAGGGAGAAAAGAAGAGAAATTATCTGTGGTTTCCAGCACAGACACCAGGTCAGAAGTGCACAGGGCCAGAGGAGTGTGGGTGAGTGTGGCCAAACACGGGATGTGAGCGTGGTGAGAAAGCCAGGTGTGGATGTGGTCAGAGGACCTGGTGTGGGTGTGGCCAGAGGACCAGGGGTGGGTGTGGTCAGAGGATGAGTGGGTATGGTCAAAGGACCAGGTGTGATCAGAGGCGTATGTGTTCAAGAGATGAATGTGCATGTGGCAGTAAGGCTGGGTATTTATACCCATAGAGTCAGGCGTGGGTGAAGTCAGAAGACTGGGTGGTAGGTGGCCCCTGGACCTCCTACCTACCACCCTATTCTCCACATATTCAGTTCTGAGACCACTGTAGTATGGGAGACTGGGTTGGGCCCTGGAAGGGAGGACACAGATGACTGTCCCCAGAGAAGACCTTGCACTTTCCCTATCTGCTCAGCCTCCTGTCCAGGCCCTGGTCACCCACTATGGCCTTTGAGGGTGGGGCAGCCAGTCCTCTTGGGACCCTGATGCCTGGTCATCATGGCAGCCAGGATCATGGGTTTTAAACAATAAAGCTGATGGCTAGGAGAGAGCAGGTGTCATAAAGGACAGGTAAGAGCCAAAGAAGCCCCAGGTTCCATGGCAGGAAGGGTGGCTGTCAGAGAGCTCCATTCCCTGCCTAGGCTCCCAAGAGGGAGAGCCTGCCAGCTTCCAGAGGGACTGTCCTTACCCAAGCTGGGCAGGTGGGACTCTCAGTGTCAGGACTCCAGTTCTACAATGTCCTGTGTTGGCTTGAACCCGAGGTTCACAAACAGCAATCCCTTAGTCCCTGTCCTTCAGTCTGAAGTCACACACCTGCTACTGGTCCTCAGATACCACCCAAGCTGGCTCGCCTCCCAAGCCTCCATGCCGGTGTGAATGTATTCACATAACACACTTCTGAACCCTCAGATTGTCCCAGTGTCTCTGGCACTAGGACTTTGAGAGACCTAAGAGACCAAGTTCCACCTGCATTGAACATGCACCTGGGGCACAAGGGGGCACAGAAGTCAGCACCCAGCCCTTCATCAACACCCCCTGCAGCTCCCTTCTTGATACTTCCTCCATCTGACTGATGTCACCTCACGTGTCGCCCTGAACTGGGAACCCCTCCAGGGTCCTGAGACGGAGGTGCACAGGGACAGGAAAGAACACATGGTTAAGTTCTCAGGGCTCTGCATGGCAGCCAGAGGTCACCTCAAGGGACGGAGCCCCACAGGACTTGAGGACCAATTTTAAACCATAAGACTCTCTTCTCGCACCAGGAAACACCAGGGCTGGTGGCAAGCTTTGGATAGGAGGCTGCGAGCAGACCTGGCGACGGAAGGACTACAAAGGCTGCTCCAGGCCCGCAGGAGGAAGAGGTGAGGAGCAGGCGCGCCGGAGGCATGGCCGGGCTGCCCGGGAGGGGACAGGGAGGCAGCAAAGGCAGACACACAGTTCCTTCCCCAGTCACATACCTTTATTCCTGGGCTTAGTTTAGAAGCTGAGGACAGACCTGTAGCTCTCAGTGGAAGAATGTTTTCCCGACATTTATTAGCATTTTAATTACTATATTTATTTTAGCTAATAGCTGGTTTTAATGATATAATTAGAAAAAGAATAATTCCTAATGGCGGTTCAGACTTTATTGTTCCCAAAGCCCTTTCACTTCTTGTTGCACTGAACCTTCTGGAAAGCAGGGGTGATAAAACGGAAGCTCGGGACTGCAGTTAGTGAGTGGTGGCCACTGTGGGTGGTGGCTGTCAAACTGACCCTTCATTTCCCTGAACTTCCAAGCTTGTCTCTTCCACTCAGTGCCTGTCTCTCTTGGCTGTGATCTCCACACACTTAGGTCTCAGAGGGAAGTGAGGGGCCAGGCCAGTTCAGATTGCTGCAAACCATTGATCAAGGGGCTCCCACGGTCCAAATAGACATTAGAAAAATGTAGCGTGGAGAGAGCACAGTGGCCTAGCGGTGACAGCTTAGGGATGGAGAAACAGCTCAGTTGGTAAGGTGCCTGTTCAGAAATGGGGGCTTGTGTTCAGATCCCCAGCACCCATGTAAAAAGCCAGGTGTGGCAGCAGCACACCCCTATAATCCCAAGGCCAGAGAGACAAGATTGCTGGAGCTCGCTGGCCAGTCAGCTTAGCCAGTCACCAAGCTCCGGGTTAGTGAGAGACCCTGTCCCACACAGTGAGGTGGAAAAGTGAAGACAGTATCACATGTCATCCTCTGGTACCCATGTGCACACACCCATAGGACATGTACACACACACAAAGCAACATCACGTGAATGCATAATGGCACACAAAGTATCACCCTCTGTGGTCTCTAACATCAGTGGCTATCTAGAACCAGTGTCTGCCCAAGCCCCACCCTTCTGTGGTTTCTCAGAGGTGAAGGTTTTGGGACCCCATGTTATGGATTGCCCACCATGGAAAGTGTAGAGCCATTTGAGTCAGAATATAGCCCCGAAGAAATAAGATCAGGATTTTGGAGCCAAGCATGGTGGTGTGTGCCTTTAATCCCAGCACTGGAGAAGCAAAGGCAGGAGGATCTCTATAAGATCAAGGCTAGCCTGGTCTATATAGTGAGTTCCGGGCCAGCTGTGGCTCTCTGTCTCAAAAAACAAAACAAAATCAGGATATTGGTCAGGAGAATTCAATTCAAGCCCAGATCAGAACATGGAATTGGAGCTGTTTAACTGCAAGGTGTTTTCCCTATACCTGTCCTGGGCTGTGCTGATGGGTGGAGTCGGGTGCTAGTCATGAGAGGCCTTGGGCCCATTTGTCAGCATCAGATAGTATCAGACAGAGCTGGGTCTGAATCCAAGCAGGCAGGGGTGTGAAGGCAGTGGAGTCAAACCTGCACAGAGTCCCAGGGAAAGCCAGCGAGCCTGTGGGTGATGTCCTCCAGGGAGACCCCAGTGACATGGCCTTGGCCTGCACTGCTTGGAGAGGGGAAGAGAGCCCCATGACTTTGTGGAAATAATTACAGCAGCAGCCTGGGCTCTAGGATGGGGCTTCTAACAGCCCCGACATGGGCATTCCAAGGCCTGTCATGCTGTCTTAGACACACATCCTGACTTCTCACAGCGGTCTGTGGCCAGGTTACCTCAGCCTGCTTCCAGGGCAAGGCCTGTGGAGGGGGTTTGCAGGTGTTAAATAGTGAGCTGGTGGGTGAGGGGCAGGAAGGTGTTCTGTCAGGTTCTGTGGTGTAAATTATTTCTGGTAATAAGCCAGCAGTTTGACAGTGGACTCGCAAGACTCCAAAATCTTCCACACTCATGAGCTGGCCAATAGCATACCCTCACTCCAGGCTTCAGCTGATTCAGGGGCAATGGCCAGACGGGAGAAAATTCTTTCATGTTGCTTAGGAGCTGGAAAGATGGCTCAGTAGTTAGAACTACTTTTCTCACAGAGGACTGGAGTTTGGTTCCCAGCACCTGTGTTGGGCAGCTCACAGCTGCCTGCAACTCCAGTGCCAGGGTATCCAGCGCCCTCTTCTGGCCTCTGAGGATAGTGCATGGATGTGGCATATATACATTTCGGGGAGGGGGCCCCCACATGCTCATAAATAAAAATCTTTAAAAATAAAATGCTGCTTGGCTGGGATGTCAGGGTCTAGAAGATTCTCCTGGGGAACTTTCAGAATACTAAGGAGAATCCGAAGGGCCCAGAATATGGAATCTGACCTTCTGTTGTCTCGCAGCATATTACAGAAGACACGGGTCCCTGTTCAGGAGAGGGTGATGTTCCCTGGAAAAGGAAGTTGGCCCCACCTGTTCCTGGAGCCTATTGGAGAGCTGGCACCCATGCCCATTATGGGGGCAGAAACCATCGATGTGTTAAACACAGGAGAGAAGATCTTCATATTCAGAAGCCCACGGGAACCCGAGATCCCCTTGCACCTGCCTCCCAGGAGGAAGAAGAACTTTCTGAACTCCAAGAAGGCCAGCAGGGCCTTGACCTTGGACTAGCCCTGGGGGAGGCTGAGGGAGCATCTCAAACCAGAGCCTTTTCTTCTGCCCACCTAGGTTTGTCTGCATATAACATACAACTTGAAGCATATACATGCCTGCAGGATGGACATGGGCCTGGTGGAAGATGCAAACACCCTGCACTTTCTGGCTTTCCTGTGCTCAGTTGCTCTGGACTCTTGAGTTTCTGTTTGGTCTACTCTCTCTGGGTCACAAGGACAGAAGCCTGTCTTCCTTTCAGTTCCATATCACCAGGATCCAGGGGAAAGCCACCCTGTTCCATCCCATCTCCAGGCAGCATGCCAAGTAGTCTGTGAGGAATGGGTATCTCTGTTCTACCGTGTGCATCACACGTGCTGCTTATTAAAAAATAAACGTGCAATAGTGGACCTTGTTTTTGATTTACATAGGAGCAATTCATTGTTAGTTACCTCTGTGCTTTGGTTTCCTATGGTGGGGGTCCAACAGAGAGGCCTGCCCTCTGCCACAGAGGCCCCAGTGTGCCAGCTTCCAGGGATATCTGTTCAAGGTAGTTATTTTCCCACTGGGCAGGCGAGGGCATTCACATGTGATTTATAGAATACCCTGAAGCTAACAGATTGCTGAACCAGAATTTGTGCTCCATGGCCCAAGCCTTTGTCCTGAGGGCCTAGCAATTAGGCAGACCACCCTAGCCCCCTTCTGAATAAGTCCAAGGAATGTCCTGGCATATGTCAGCTTTGAACTGTGAGCCTATCAGCCTTCTCTTTGTTTTAGTTGACCAATCCAAAATGAGGAGAGGAAGACCCACCCTGTACACCAAGAACACCTAAAACTCCAGAGCCTCCTTCAGGGCTTTGAATTTTGGTTTATGAATCCCCCCCCCCTCTCTCTCTCGTGTATGTTATTCCTCTACCATTAATAAAGTTTGTTGTTGGGCATGGTGGCATGCACCTTTAATCCCAGAGGCAGGCAGATCTCTGCAAGATCAAGGCCAACCTGGTCTACACAGCAAGTTCCATACCAGCTATGGTTACAGGGAAACCCAGTCTCAAAAAAAAGTTTGTTGTCTGCTGTGCCTGAGACCCTTCCTGCAAATTGGTGGATAAATGAAGCTGATCAAGACGCCTAGGCAGTAACACTTTCTCTGGGCCTTGGCCAGTGGACATGTTCCATCTCTGACAAAAACCATCTCCAGCCTTCACAGCTCACATAAGGCCTTTGTGTGTCTGGTCCTTCTAGACTCAACACTGGCCAGGTCGGCAGCATCTGCTTGGGGTAGAGACTGTAACCATAATGCATTGACTTGTCGCTCCCCCCCCCCAATGGTAAAGAATTAATAGGTGGGGAATCCCGTGATTAGCAAGGGAAAGATGGGGTCCTCTGTTGAAAGAAACATGAGCTATAGCCAAACCCTTCCAGCTTCCATTAAGACCCCACTTACACACTGGTACCCCCCCAACAGGGTGCTGCCGTCCTTCCAGACCACGAAGTTGTGCCGCTAGCTTACCTAAATCACAGTGCCTCACAGGGACAATCACAATCCTGGGTTGGAACTGGCTCTCCTAACCTTAAAATCCCTATGTGCCGTGCGGCATCCTGTTTCCATTGGCAACCTGCAGGTCTGGCTTACCTGCAGTTTCCCGTGGGGTCTTCCATTGGGGTGCCCTTTCTCAGGAGAGGGGTGGGTACTGTCATAAGGAACCTGTTGACCGCAGCACTGCATTAGTAGATGCGTACGTAGGAACAGCCTTTTCTCCCAGAGAAGATGGAGAGGACTGGTTTACCCGTTCGGAGGTCCAGTGCATAGAGTGAAGACAGAGGAAGAGGAGTTTTCACTTTGCAGTCTGGGGTTCATTCCCCAAAGCTTTGCTCATTGTGCAGTGTGCTGCACTCTGGAGCTGCACCCCAGCTCACAAAAGCAGTGATTTTTCACACCCAAGGTAGTGGGGTGGAAGATACATAGTCTTTGAAATATGCAGACTCGAGTTCCGCTGCTCCACTACTTAAGGGCTGTGTGTTGGTGGGCAAGTCACCTGACCTTTCTGAGTCTCATTTTCATAAACAAAGCAATGATTAGAATCCCTTGTAAGGGTTAGGGTGTGGGCTTCTCACCTGTCCTCTTCTGCTTCCTGATGGTGACCGTCTGCCATCCTGAGTCCTTCCTGTCTCTACAACTCTGCTCTGATTTTGCACAGTTGTAGATTGCTTGCCTGTAAGGATGTCAAACAATAATTCAGAGTAGTCTGCCAAAGGCTGACTGTAGAGGCTCTGAGCAATAGAAGGGGCCCCAGCTGTTCAGAATCCAGCGTTGACCCTTGTCCACTTCGTTTTTCTGCTTCCTTTCAGAGTAACCCAGCACCTGTGACCACTGTCCCTGGCTCTCCCCTCTCCCTGCACACTCATTCAGTGGCTGCATAGGTATTTACAGTGTGTCTTTATCAGCTTGTTAGTCCAAATCCTTCGTACGGCTCACACACAGTTCAAGAATCATTACCTTTCCACCCACTTCGTCCACACTTGCTGCAGCGCAGATCTTTGCTTTAGCTTCTCACAGAGGCCTGCAAGGTAAAAGCCTGGTCTCCAGATTGATACTGATACCACCTAGGGCGTGTTCTTGGGTCCTTTTCTTCTCTGGGTAAAGAATTACCAAACGAGGGGCTGGAGAGATGATTCAGTGATTAAGAGCACCAATTGCTCTTGCAAAGGACCTAGGTTCAGTTCCCAGCACCCACATGGCAGCTAACAACCATCCGTAACTCCAGTTCCAGGGGATCCCACCCCTCTTCTGACCTTGTGGGCATTTCACGACATGGGTGCACTTACAAACATGCAGGAAATACACTCATACACACAAATTAAAAATAAGTAAAATATTTAAAGAGTTACACAATGAAAAGTTTGTAGTCACAGCACACACAGCCAAGGTTTACTGAAACACAAGCAACATGCCACATGGCAAAGACACAGACTCACCACATGGGGAGAGTCCAGAGCTAGAGCACCTTCTAAGCCCTGGAGAGTCTGGACTTTTATGTCCCACCAGGAGGTGGAACAGGGCTGGACTCCCCATTTCCCCTTTTGATTGGACAGGGTGGGATGCATGTTGTTGGTCGGCTGACTCAGCAGGCCACCAGAAGGACTAACCGGACAAGAATCCAGAAGTGGGCCATCCTGATGAACGTGAAAGCAACTGAAACACAGCCAAACACAGGGCCTCCTTCCCTGACTACCTGCCTAATTTAGAACTAACACCTCTTCTCCTTCAGTATGACTGGGAAATGGTGGGACCTTTAGGATGGAGGGCCCTTGAAGGGGAATGTGCTCCCTCCCAGTCCTCTAGTCCTGGCCACGAGGAGGTGGTTCCTCACCACCACAGCTCACCATGAAGCTTCCTCTCCACAGGCCTAAGTGCAGCAAAGCCCACTCATCTGGGACTAAAACTTTCAAAATATGACTCAAGCAAACCTTTCCTCTTTACAAACATATTATTTCGGGAATTTTGTTTTGGAAACAGAAAGCTGTTTGGAAACAAAAGCCTTTTTCACTCTGTGTGTGTGTTGTGGAATTTTTTTTTTTAAACAGAATACTGTTTTTAAACAAAAGCCTTTTTCTCTCTGTGTGTGTGTGTGTGTGTGTGTGTGTGTGTGTGTGTGTGTCTGTCTGTCTGTCTGTCTGTCTGTCTGTCTGTCTGTCAAGTGCAGTCCACCCTGTTTTTTTGAGACAAGATCTTTCACTGGTCTAGGGCTCACTGATTTGGCTAGGCTGTCAGACTAGTGAGTCCCTGGGCCCATCTGTCTCCACTCCCCTGGGTACATACCACCACACCAGGTTTTTATGTGGTTTCTGGGAAACAAACCCAGGTCTTCCTTCTTAAGCAGTAAAGCACATGGCCAACTGGGCCATGTCCCCATCCCTCCATATTTTACTTTATTGATGTTACTAACTCCCTCTGTGCTGGCACTGTTCTGCTTCAGATGGTCAGTTATCTTATATGGAGACTGAGAGAGCAGTAAAAAGTCTTTCATATTTATGGAAGTACTTATGGGATTTGCTGTTCTTTTTCATGTAGGTCCCATTTCCCTCTGATTCAGTAAGGAATGTATCCATCTCTGCCCCAGGTCTCAGTACTGAGCTGCTGTGCGTCTTGGGGCTCCTGAGTATCTCTGTCGTGGAGCCTTCTGTTGTTCATAGTGAGCCCCTTCCACGCTCACACTCTCCAATTCCACACCCAGGGAGACGTGAGTAAAAACTGAATTCCATAGAAATGGCAAACAGGACACTTGGACAGCACTGGGTTGGGTGACTCATAGACACGGCCACTCAGAGAGGACCCTGGAGGATCCCTGCACCCCTACCCTACCCCTAGTACTCTGCACTTCCTCCCATGCTCATGAGCAAAGGCTTTCCATAGTGCTGTGAGCTGCTGTCTGCCATTAGCCTGAAGGTGCAGGTAACACAGGATTTAAAGCTGGCCTACAGACAGGGTAACTTCAAGGAACTGAGCCCTGTTCCTGTCTCCTCAATGTGCCAGGAAAGCTGGCTTGAGTCAAGGTGTCCCCTCCCTGGTCTGCAGCCTTGAAACTGCCTCTGTGCATTGACCAGGCCTTCCAGTGCCACGGGCATCTGTACATCTGGGAGACTGCACCCAGTGGCATGACAGCTGTCCAGCAGTGGGCGAGCACTGAGTTCCTTCTGCGTACTCTGAGGGCCAGAGGTCCCCTCAGCAGTTCAGAGCAAACCCCAGTTGTCCTGCAGCTGCCCCATCAATAGTTCTCACTGTCCCTCCAACACAGAGGAGGCCCGTTTTTTTGTTTTTAAACTTTCAGAACAAAACACACTAATGATTAGCTCTCAGGAAAACAGTTTCACCAAGAAGAAAATTCAATTCAAATGCACTGAATGATTTGCCTATAAAGACGCCAAATCTCTACTTAACTGTGTTCTTATCCCCGGAGATGATTGGAGGGAGAGAGGTGTGGTGTGCTTCATGCATGTGTGTGTGCAAGCCCGTATGTGTGAATGTGTGCACATGTGTACAAGTGTGTATGCCTATATGTGTGAGTGTGTGTCTGTGTGCGTATGTATATGTGTATGCCTCTATGTGTGTGTGCATGTTTACATATATGTGTATGCTTATATGTGTGAGTGTGTGTGTATGCCTATGTGTGTGTGGCTGTGTGTGCATGTTTGTGTATGCCAATGTGTATGAGTGTGCATGTGTATGAGTGTGTGTGCATACATGTGCACAGTACATCTTCCTGTAGAAAGTGATCACATGTGGACAGCACACGGGGGATAAAACACTGAGAAGCACAGAACGTTCTCTAGATGTAGAACTGTCAATAGCACAGAAGTAGCTGAACAGTTAAAAGCACAGTCATCCCTCATCTGTAGGAGACTGGCTT